CTGTTCGCCTGAGAGAGGAGGTCTCGTCTCAGGGGAATGGGCCACGGGGCTGCTATAAGCAGCTGAGACAGCTCTGCGAACCAGTGTTGGGTCCTCCAGAGCGGGGCCACCAACAGAACCCTGTGTTTCCGCTCCTTGATTCGCCTGATTACCTGTGGGATCAGGGCGATTGGGGGAAAAGCGTAAAGGAGGTTGGGCCAGTCGTGGGCTAACGCATCCTTGTCCTTCGAAAAGTAAATTGGGCAGTGAGAGTTGTCTTCTGAGGCGAAGAGGTCGACCTCTGCCTTGCCGAAGATCTCCCAGATTCTCTGAACCGTATGCGGGTGGAGCATCCACTCTTCTGAGGGGACGTTGCACCAGGATAGCATGTCCGCTCCCTGGTTCAACCTGCCTGGCACATGTGCTGCTCTTAGCGAATGCAAGTGTAGCTGAGCCCATTCCAGGAGGCGCTCTACCAGAATGAAGGTGCTTCGAGGAGAGACCGTCCTGGCGATTTATATATGACACCACTGTCATGCTGTCTGAGTGGACTAGCACGTGGTGTCCCCTTAGGTCTGGCAGGAAGGTGCGAAGTCCCAAACATACTGCCAACATTTGCCATCGCACAGAGTTCCCCAACCCGTGTTGGAAGCGTCTGTCGAGACTACCTTCCTTCTGCAGACCATAAGCCACATCCATGCACTTCATAAAAGTGCGGGGAGCTAGGGACAGTCCGAGGGAAGGACCGTGTACTGATATGCCACTCCCTCGAAGGCGAATCTCAGAGCTGAAGCATTTTGGCAAGAAGTGTCGCTTTGCTTGGGACAACTTCTGTGCAGCAGTGAAGCGTTCTGTGAACCCTTCGACCGCAGGTCCAAACAGGCCAGAGGGGGAGACCGGAGAGTCGAGGAAGGGGATCCATGGAGTGAAGCGCCGAGGCCGCTTGTCCAGCAGACGAGTGGGCCCTTCCAGCGAGTGCTGAAGTAGTTCTGCACGGCTTGGACGGGTGGGCGGCCTTTAACTTTCAGCCGATGGCCGTGGGCGGGCAGAGATGCGCGGCCACTGACTCATCCAGGGATGGCAGTTTGTCATACCCCTTTTCTTCTGCGCCCTGGCAGTTTGTCATACCCCTTTTCTTCTGCGCCGTCGACCGTAGTGAGGGCAGATGAAGAGGAGGTACGCAGGCGGGCCGAGTAGGGGGCGCGCCAAGATCTGGTGATCTCTTCATGGACTTCCGGGAAGAATGGAGAAGCTCCCCGGCAAGAACCATTCATCCAGGCAGCTGCGGGTAGGCTCCTCCGGCGGAGACCAATCCAAACTCTTGAACAGCCTTAGACAGAACGCGGAAGAGTTCGGCGTCCATGCCTGTGCTGGCAGCGCTGGGTTCTGCAGACGGCAGTGGGGTGGGATCGAAAGACGAGCCCGACAGCTCCTCCGCATCTGAGGCAGCCAGAGACACACTGTCGTCCATGGCGTCACACTCACTCCCACCGAATGAGATTGCTCGAAGCCGCAGAGGGATGCTGGTCCGGGTGCGAGAAGAGGACGGGGGAAGCCTCTCTATGTGGAGAGAGTAAGGCATGCGGGGGCTCAGCCGGCATGAGCTCACTCGTCACCGAGCGCTGAGATCCTCTGCCCCGCTGCTTTTTCCTCACAGGTTCCTGGGAGGAAGGAAGCGGGAGGGCGCGAGGGGAGGAGTCGCTTTCTGAAAAGAAAGCTATCCGCGAGCGCAGAGAGGAGAGACTTATATCCTCGCAATGAGGACATTCCGTCTCGTTAAGTGCAGCTTCAGTGTGGGCAGCGCCCAAGCATGAAACGCACTGGCCATGACCGTCAGTGGCGTGCAGGGGAGCCCTGCATGAGCGACAGTAGCGGCGCGGAATTTGTAACAACGCCGGAAATTTGCTCTAGAAATTTGCTCTTATAGTCGCCGGATAGCGGCAGGGGACCGGGAGACCACGCTGCTGCAGACGCCGAAGGCAGCTGAAGAGCGGCGAAGTCAGCCGAGCAGAGAGGGGTCTTGATCTGCTACGAGGCTTGTTCACGGCGAAGGCTTCTTAGTCTTGTAGTGCAAAGATCTGTAATCGTCGCTGAAGGAGAAGAAATCTGAGGATCCTATGACGAAGTGCACGCTTATATAGCCAGATGCCCCGCCCAAATTGGCGGGCTGTGCATACTGCCATACTAACATATATACTGACAATTCAGTGCACATTTTTGAGCATGAAGTTTTATTAAGCTTTTCACCTTTTGTATTTGTATTTTATCCCGTTAGTTTTGTCTTTCCAGTTTTGGACATTAACATTTTTATTCAATCAATGTCCTGCATTAATAACCGACACAAGCAATCATATATAATCTTTTAATATATAAAAAGAAACATTTAAAAAATAAGTTTTGTTTCACCATTTAACAAGCATTTAACTCTTTTCCCGCCAGTGTTTTTAAAAAAAAAGTTGCCAGCCACCACCAGCATTTTTGATCATTTTCACAAAACTTTCATGGCCCCCACAATATTTCATTATATGAATAGCATGAGCGTGCAATATGTGACCCTGGACCACAAAATCAGTCATAAGGGTCAATTTTTTGAAATTGAGATGTATATATCATCTGAAAGCTGAATAAATAAGCTTTCCATTGATGTATGGTTTGTTAGGATCGGACAATATTTGGCTGAGATACAACTATTTGAAAATCTGGAATCCGAGGGTGCAAAAAAATCAAAATATTGGCCGTGCAGTTTCACTGCGTGATTGAAAAAGGTTTCAATATTCTGAGAAAAAGGGGTTTTCCCCTTAGCGTCTTAAGCAAGACGCAGTACGAGTGAAGTCTTGATAGAGAACTGCATCAGTGTCAGATTTATATACTGACAATTCAGTGCACATTTTTGAGCATGAAGTTTTATTAAGTTTTTCACCTTTTGTATTTTATCCCATTAGTTTTGTCTTTCCAGTTTTGGACATTAACATTTTTATTCAATCAATGTCCTGCATTAATAACCGACACAAACAATCATATATCATCTTTTAATATATAAAAAGAAACATTTTTAATTTTAATTATTCTTATTTACAATTTACAACAGTACATGTAATAACAGTAAAACATTGTCAATCATAGAAAATTTATAAAATAGCACACCTGCGTTTGTAAAATGAAGATGAGCTGGGACTGGCAGACTGTTAGGAGCTTTACATTCACTCAGGGACTAGAGATGTGTTCAACACTGTTATGTGGAATACATGAGACATGACGAGCATACGCCTGACAGCATTCAGATATCAGTGAAACACACAGCAGAAAGCATTGAGGTGAAAGCCTTAGAAAAGCTTTGCTTAGTCGAGTTAATTAAGGTCACTGCTTCCTAAAAAGAACAGGGTCTAGAAAAAAAGGCATATTTGATGTGATGTACCTGTAGTTCTTCAGAAGCTATTGGTGTGTGTTTGAGTGTGTGTGTGTGAGTGAGTGAGTGTGTGTGTGTGTGTGTGTGTGTGTGTGAGAGTGAGTGTGTGTGTGTGTGTGTGAGAAAACATCTGTGAGCAGTTTCTCAAACTCACTAGCAGCTCAGATGGCACTATGCCGTTCTGTTCCGGGTTGTCTTGTGTACGGGATCTTTAAAAGGGCGAAAAAATATAGAAAAAACATGCCATTAACACACAAAGTAACTACTTACAAGCAAAAGGTAGAAAAAAAAAGTTTTGTTTCACCAGTTAACATGCATTTAACTCTTTCCCCGCCATTGTTTTAAAAAAAAAGTTGCCAGCCACCACCAGCATTTTTGATAATTTTCACAAAACTTTCATGGCCCCCACAATATTTCGTTATATGAATAGCATGCAATATGTGACATAGACCACAAAATCAGTCATAAGGGTCAATTTTTGGAAATTGAGATTTATACATTAAATAAGCTTTCCATTGATGTATGGTTTGTAAGGATAGGACAATATTTGGCTGAGATACAACTATTTGAAAATCTGGAATCTGAGGGTGCAATAAAATCGAAATATTGAGAAAATCGACTTTAAAGATGTCCAAATGAAGTTCTTAGCAATGCATATTACTAATCAAAAATTAAGCTTTGGTGAGTGAGTGAGTGTGCGTGTGTGTGTGTGTGAGAGAGAGTGAGTGAGTGTGTGTGTGTGTGTGTGTGTGTGTGTGAGAGAGAGAGAGTGAGTGAGTGTGTGTTACACAGGCAAAGACACGGCATACTGCTTCGTCCACAAAACTGCAATTCTTTTCCTTTTTGTCTATTTCGATTTCATTAAAATCAACATTTTTTTTACTCCCTCTAGTCAGAAAAACCCACAAGCCATGCTGGATAAAAACGTCTGTGAGCAGTTTCTCAAACTCACTAGCAGCTCAGATGGCACTATGCCGTTCTGTTCCGGGTTGTCTTGTGTACGGGATCTTTAAAAGGGCGAAAAAATATAGAAAAAACATGCCATTAACACACAAAGTAACCAGCGACTTAAGACTGCTTTTGTGCTCCAGGGTCACATATGTCAAAAGAGAGAACCGAACCTTTGCTTTTAAACAAAACAAACCGTTTTATTCAGTATTTTTTCACCTGTGCTTTGATCCAGAGATTCAGTACTCTTTCAGAAGATGTGTAATAGCGCCCCCTACCATATTTCAGTGAAAACACGTAATAGCGAGGAAAGAGTTGATCTTTAGTGGCGTGTCAGAGGAGAAGTGTGCTGACCTGCTCGTTCATGATGGCGGAGAGCTCGGTCAGCATGTCTTTATGGTGAGCTTTCATCTCCTCCTGATACTCCAGCTGATCTTCTTTTATGAGACGCTCATTCACCTTCAAGGCCTGACCACACGCGTCTGCAAACTGCCTGCAGGACCACAAACAGCAAACCAGGATTGCAATCACTACACTTCTGTAAATATTCATTTAGGCTTTCAGTGCAATTAAAACATCATGAAGAATTGTTGTAGCAACCTGTGTGTATTTGCTTCAAGAGAGCAATCGTACATTTGCGTTGTTTTATTTCCTTCTTTTATATTCATTCAGTCTGAGAGCTGAAACCTACGCAACTAAGATTATTTAATAAACTATTCTTTAATGATAATAAGCTCGTTTTTTAATCATCTTTATGTCTCCTCACTCCGCTCTTCCCTGTTTGTCCTCCGTCTGCTGACAGAAGACTGTTGATACAGTTTTAGGTAATAAACAAAATGCAGTAAAACACTGATTTTGGGAACCAGACAAGACTTGGGTACCAGACAGAACGGAGATTTTCGGACAGGATCCGGTGTCCTGTGTTGGGTCTAACATTCCTGACGTGGAGACTTGATCCAACATTTTTGGTGTTGTTGGCAAGATGTCTGCACGTTCTAACGGTCATTAAAACATTGCGATTATGAAGGTTTTTATAAAAAAATATCCAGCTTTAAAACTTGCCAAACAAACCAAACTTACATTACATGGATGTGCTCTCCACATATGGCATTAAAATAACACCATATATATATATAAAATACTCAGCATGAGGGAAAGTTCCTGAGCCCTGGCATTTTGTTTTCATAAAACCGCAATGAATGAAGACGTACCTGAAGATCTCTTTCAGGAGTTTGACTTGGTTGTCTGGGTATTTCTTGGCGTTCTTCTCCTCAAGGAAGGCTCGGGCGTAGGCCATGGGCCCAGCATTTACCTAAAACAACACACAAATTCATGAAATACTGTCCTATTCCACAGTCTTATTCAAGATGCTAGAATAGCTAATGCTAGTGCTACCAGAGTTATGGTAATGTAACATACCGTATGACATATATTGCTCTATATCAAGAGTGAATCTGCTATATATGTTACCTATAAGGTTTTAGGATGGATATACATGCACATGACATATATGTAGGGATGCAAAAAGGTGGATAATTTCCAGTAAATTTCGGAAATATTCCAGAAATTTTGGAAACTTTCCAGGATTTTTTTTTGGGGGGAATATTCCAGGGATTTTTTGGAAAGTTTCCGGAAATTTACCAGAAATTTTCCACCCCTTTGCAACCCTACGACCAAAAATGTATTACACATACATAAACATACATATCTGTATAGACTAAATATATGTTAATATATGAAATTGTTCTAAGGGAATATTCCAGGGATTTTTTTTGGAAAGTTTCCGGAAATTTACCAGAAATTTTCCACCCCTTTGCAACCCTACGACCAAAAATGTATTACACATACATAAACATACATATCTGTATAGACTAAATATATGTTAATATATGAAATTGTTCTAATTTCTAATAGGTTTCATATATGTTTTTACTTCATATGGCAATGTATTTCACATATGGAAATTTGATATATATATATATATTGCATTTGCATATGGGGTCACTTATGTAAGGATTTAGAAACGGCTAGATGTGCATTAAACAATTTTAAATGCATGACGTGGAGACAAAAAAAAATTGCAATATGACTGAAAGAGTAATTCAGGATGCTGCACATTATATTTAATATCATATATCGCTGTGGACGTGCACATCCACTCATACTAATGCAGGATCAGAGCATCTTGTGTGCATCGCTCACCTTCACGCTGACGCTGCCCTGTAGTTTGAGCTGCAGCCGGATCATGTCCACCTCCTCCATGCCGCACAGCTGATTGAGCTCAGACACTTTGCGGCTCATCTCGTCGATCGCCACCTCGATGGGGTTCATCTCTGTGCTCTGCTGCTCCACCACCTCGATACGCTTCTTCAAGAAGGGAAAACTGGAGCTCGCTGCGGAAGAACACAGACAGTACAGGTCTGAGCGTGTTTAAAGAAAGGGTCTGTAACATCAAATATTTGCCAGGTTCGCAAAGAAAAACAGATATCCATTCTGTCAAAAATACAAAATGGCTATTATTAGGTCAGTGCTTCTGACAATATTGTCCATATATTCATGTATTTACAATGGCCTGTTGTGCTATTCACTCTGAAACCAACGTGAAATGGCATTCAACACCCATGTTACTTTTGTATTGGAATGTAATCAATTTAAAGTGCTGTAACTTTTTTTCTTTTATGGGATAATTTGCAGAAAATAATCCTCCTTCTCTGAAGTTTTGTGCACATACGTACAGTAGTGTTGTGAGCTCCCCTTTAAATCATGAAATATGTGTCTATATGTGAAATATAATGTTGGTATAGGATGCATAGTTTTTTAAATATCGGTTCAGAATTGAAAAGCTGTGTAGAGTATTCCGGTCTTAAATGACTTAAATTTGAATGAAAAAAAAACCCATCTGTTGAATAATTACTTTTACTGCCATAATGAATCTTTCTAAATCTAAATGAGTGTGCTTTTGTGCCTAGCTCACCACATATACATGTGAAATATGTAATGAGCCTATAAATCCAGCTGATAATGGCTTGTTATTGTCTTTTTATCCAACTGTCAACAATGGCTTACACAGCCGAATGTCCTAAAAGCAATAGGAAGACTGAGGAAGAAGGAAGCTGAATCCTTCAAAGTGCTTGAAAACAAATGCAATGCTTGCTGAGTTTCTGCTTGACAGGCTCTTGAAAGAAGCAGTGTGTATAATTCAGTTGCTAAGCCGAGCAGAAGCTCTAGAATGCCTAACAATGCTTACTATGGAAGCCCATTTCTACGGAAGTTCTAAGCGGCCATGCAATATATTTTTTTTCCTTCTTGTTTTCTCGTTATAACGACTTAATTTTCTCGTTATCTCGACATAACGAGAGTTGTTTTCTCATTATAACGACTTAATTTTCTCGTTATCTCGACATAACGAGAGTTGTTTTCTCGTTATAACGACTTAATTTTCTCATTATCTCGACATAACG